GGACTTCAGCCTAAGTTCATAAGTTCTTCCCACAATTTACCTGGAATTCTTCTCAGAATTACCTTAAAAATCAAATTAGCATTTGCATGGAGCTCATCTCAGAATTCCTTTGAAATTGTTGGCACAACTCCCATGGCATGATTCGCAGGATTCAGTAGAAATTTTCGTTAAGTTTCTCTTGGAACTGTCGTTGGTATTAATTTTAAAATTTCATCCAAATTCCTTGGTCAAAATTCTCTAGAAAATGAATTAAATTGAAAAATCTTTCAAAACTCTTTCAAACCCTACAGCTATGAAAACTACAGATTGATGATATGATATGATGATTTAATTCATAAAACAAGCAATTTTTTAAATTATGACTTGAGTATTCCAATTAGTTACAGTTTCTTGGAAATCTTAATTCTAAATCTAAATCTTAAAAATGTAAAATTAATCAAAAAAAAAAAAATGTAATAAAAATTAAGTCCCCGAACCAAAAAAACCCTTGTGTCTCAAGAGGATTTTTAACTGTTTTTTGTCAGTTCGTGGTGTCGAAAATCCATCTGTTAGGGATCCTGAATTTTTTTCACTAGATTTTTAAACATCTAGATTTTTTTTAAGCAATTTCTATATTCCATGTCTCGCATTACACAATGCGGTAGAATTACCCGATAGCATTCGATCAAGTGGGTTTCAAAGAATTGATAACTCTGTTTAAATTTTAAAATTCTGGTTTTACTTATAAAACTACCAACGTTCAAACTTAAAACACACATTTGAATTGATTTACTCGACAAGATTTGTTACGATCGAACCATACAGCATTTTTATAGACCACTAACAGCAATATCGAGATTTCAAGTTCACATATAGACCAACTATAGTCAATCATTTGGATCGTTTTGTATGGTTCAAAGTAGCTTTCATTTACGATGCATAGACACGAAGAACGATGAATCGGGAAATCAGTCACTGAATTGATTAATCTTGCTTCTGTATAAGATATTCATATATGATCAGTTCATACGAATTCGTTCCATAAGATTTGATTTTCTTACTTAGTTGTTGACTAAATAATTGCACCCAAAATAGCTCTCCTGTCAAATTTTCATTTGTGCATGAACTCGAATTTATCCGTACATTACATTTTTACGCACAGATTACACTTTGCTTACTCGCTTGCTTAACTATGAGAATGGACCACTTTGTCAAGCGATGTCACTGAACTGGACCAATAAATTGTTATTTATGTTATGAACAATGTTCAAATTGTGTCTACTTTTCTCGTGATTATAGAAGAAACATCTCAAAATATTGTTTTATTTAGAAGTTCGAATGGTAGTAAACGTCATTTTAACTGCTCGAATGAAGTGGTTAATTTAGAGTTAACGAATAAGGAATAATCTGCCATGTACACGCATAGACTGACGATTACCCATCGGCGTAAAGAGTTAAGCGCCACGCACAAAGCATCCGGATTTGATCCGTTGAGGACAATCTGACAGTTAGACAATAGATTTAGCTGTCACATTGCCGCAGCAGATCAGATGCGGATGCATTGTGCACCGCACTTTTCAGAAGCTTTCACGAATAAGTCACTTCACGGAATGAACACGAATGAACACTCTCTATCTACTTCTTCTTCTACTTCTTCATTCTTTCCGAAGGAAGACGTGACCAGAAATTTCTATGCCTCAGAAAAATCCCACCGACCTCAGCTGGGATTGAACCTAGACCCATTTGGGTGATAAAGCAGTCACGCTTACCACTACACCACATACGCCGGCACTTTCCATCTTAATAATGTAAGGCTACTCAAACTCTCGATAAAAAAATTAAACAAAGATTCCTCTCTTCAGCGAAAAGTATCTGAACACTCTGAAGACGATGTATCCGGTAAAATGTGTAACGGCAAACTTGCAATGTTTGATAAATCATAACTCAGCCATTTATTGAAGGATTTCAAACCTTTTGTCGCCATTTTAAACGACATACTTTAAAAATTTATTCGGAATCATACATACCGTAAAACGGGGTATCTTTGATAATGCGGGTAACTTTGATAGTATAATGTAAAGATTAAATTTACTCGTTGCGCTTTTTCCAAATTAGAAACATTGGTTCCATATTGTAGCTTAGGGTATTTCCGTTGATATTGTATATAGTTTTTATATAGTATGTGTTACATATTTAACAAACATATTAAAAAACAATTTTCGTGTTTTTCGCCTGTTTGAAAAAGCACTCAAACCATCACCTATGAAATGTATTTCCGATATAGCCATCACAAATATTACCATATTTTTCTACATTCATGGAGCATTATAAAAGTAACCACAAATCAAAAAACTGAAGTTCGGTCACAAAACTAAAAAAAATTGTACAAATGCTTTAATTTTCTTTAAACATATTACTGACCAACTGACTCTTGGATCCTCAGTACTTGTTTTAAAAATATAAAATTTGAAAAACATTCTTTGCTGTAAATATTATTTAGAATATACTTTAAAAAACTATCAATGTTACCCCGTTTTACGGTATTTAAAAAATTTATTCAAAATCTATCGACAAATTGCTGAGCAATGGTTTTTCCAAGTTTGCCAATTTGACGTTACACATTTTACCGGAGGCATCGTGTTCGGAGTGTTGAGGTGTTTCTTTAATTTTTATTTATTTACTTTTAATTTTTTTAATTATTGACGTTGTTGAATGACTTTTTTCTCAATTGATGAAATTTTGAGCTGAGGGCTGGTTTATCTCTAACAAATTTGCAAAGTGAGTTGATCGAACTCCTAATTTTAAGAATCCCGCTAAATAAACGACACATTCGGCAAATGTAAGTGCACGGGATTCTTACACTCCCTGCATATTTGTCTTACGAGAATGTATATGCGGTGTTTAATTAAAGATTTATCGCTTAAGAAATATCTCTTAAACAAATCAGTTAATAATTCAAAGATTAGTTTTTCTTTTTATTTTTTACATTAAGAAGACACAATCGTTAATAAACCATTTTACATCAACTAAGCGAGAAGTTATGTTCCAATGAATGGGTTTTGTCAATATAATACTTTCAAATCAGTGATTAATTTCCGGATTATGTCCATCGTCCTTCCAGCTACGCGGTTCACTTACCGGATACGTATCGATCAAACTGGCGACGACTGCTGGTGAGTGAAAATGATTAATGACAAATAAGCTTACGTGATTATCGTTTGTTTTTGTTATGTTTTTATCTCATCTAATTCGGTTTGTGAGTGTGCGGGCAGTCCTGTTTTTGTTTCTGTGTGAGAACGAGTGTATGAGCGATTAGCGTGCGTAAATTTTGCGACGCCTACTACGCCAGCCTACAGTCGTTGGGGCCTAAAAGAAACGTATGGGAAAATGGTCCAATTTGTGAGTAAGATTTTCGATTAGGAGTTCCTTTCTTCTGCGGAAGTAGGTTTGTAGGTAGGTTGGGTAGCTGCTGTTGGGGTGGATTTTGCTTTTGTGTTGCTAACAGATTCACGCGATTTAGAAACACAAATGGAAATAATGCAGCATTGCTGGCTTTGGTCTCGTACATGACGGTGCGGTTATCGCGGAGCGCGCGTGAATTTCAAGAAGCCGCATTCAGGCGCGAGCGCAGTCTTGTGTGGCGTTTTATTGGATGATTGAAACTGAGTTAGAGTTGTTTAACATTCATAGGAAAGAAAGATGCACTTTGACAGAAAAAAAAATTGGATATAAAAGAGAATACTTACGATTGCCAGTCACTGCGCCATCTATGTGTGTTCCTTTGTGTCTGGTTACGTTTAATTTGATATTACCTCACCTCATCTTAGCAAACGGTGCACGTGTTTTGGAACGTGTTTAGAAGTTGTGTGAGTGTTGTTTTGTTGTGTTTTGTTTAAATGCAATGTGTGGTGCGAACAGAAGATGGCGAAAGCCTTTCACTTTACGCATTGAAATCAATGGAATGTGTTCAGTCTACTGATACTAAATATTTTGAGCTAATCATGTAGTGATTCCTAGAGGAAGAGTGGAATGTTATGAAATCATTTTGATTTGATGATTTCAAAACAATATTATTGAAAGACTTTCACCTTCCCCAAGTGAGTTTTTCTTTTGTATATGTGTATGTATCATTCGTGTTCCTGTGTCATATGTTTGATTTTCGACTGTGTATGTGTCTGAACTCTAGTAGATTTTGTAATCGCTAAGCGTTCAAGATTGTTTGCGAGTTCTGTTTTGTTTTGCAATTGTTGTATTATTATTTAGCATCTCCATTTTCATCATACTAACTCTCAAAATTTTTACACGTCGCGAAATTGGTTGTCATATTTTTTTGTGATTTTTTCTTTTTTTCTTCTTTTTGTTGTTTAATTTTAAAGATTGATTAATAACTATAAATATTCTCAATTTAATAATGGTGGGTAAACATTTGTGGTCGTCTTTTTCTTTAACATTTCACCTGGAAAATTTTTGTGTTCTCTTCTGTCACCGCTCCCGGCCATGTATTCCAGCTAACAACGGCCAGTACTTTCGCTTCAACAAGATTTTCGCTATGTTTCCATGCAGCTTCGTGCCAGTTCTGTTATCTATTTACATGCCAATATTACTTTGTTCGCCTAGTCGATCCGCTAACTTTTAATAACCCGATGCTTAAATGTAACTTCAAGTCAATAGCTAGAGCATTGAAATGAGTTCTTTTGTTATGACTGCATATATTACACTAAATTTTCTTTTAGCTACATGTTTACTTTAGTTTTTGTTAAGTTTCTTCTTAATACAACACTTTAGCGACGTTTGTATATACGAACAAAAATAGTAACAAATGATAACACTGTGACAAGTTGATATTCATTTACTCTTTGATTCATAATTCAAGTTGGGTGTCAATAATAAAATAACGATAAAGATTACTGTAAGTTTTGTTTGTCTTTTTTTTTGTTATTAGTTAAAGATATTTGTAGTAATAGTTAATGTTGTGCTAAAGACGCGCCGATTCAATTCAATATTGTTTGTTGTTGTTTCACTTTTTGTTTTTTTTTATTCGCTAGCATGAAATGATGAGTGGTGAATGTTGAATTGTTGATTAGGATTGATTGCGGTGAAATGTAACTCTAAATGTTGAACAGCACTTTGAAGCATGATTTTTTTTTGTTCATCTTTTAAATATATATGATATATTTATAATAATATTTATATGGAATGATATGGGTAATGATTTGCTTTAAATGTAAATATCACCTTTTCATTCACTTTGTTTTTTGATCACTCATCTTAATGTTAGAACTTGTCTTTTATGTCTGGTAATAACTACAACATTGTATAATTTTAACCTTTACTCTTTGTATCAATTTATCAAACCAGACCGAAGTACAATAAAAATAAAAACAACAATATTCAAACAGTTTTGTATAGAAACGACTACGGTTACTTTCTGGAAGGGACAATATTTTGCCAAACCTTCCCAAAATGAAGAACAAATAAATGCTAATCTGAGGAAATTAACTTTGACCTAAATCAATCCTAACTCTCGTCAAAATGCCGCGAAAAATACGTGTGCGTGATCATGTTTCTGGTTCACTAGAATGCTAGAACTTTAACATTTTTTTTTCAAACCAAAATAAATCTTACGTTTGTAGTATTTACAGTTGAAAATTTTGCTTGCCTCCATTTGAATGAACAAAAAGCTTTCGTCAACGATTTTCTTAATCTTTTTTTTTCATCTGCATTAAACTTACTAGCCTATTATTTGTTCCTTTCATTTGCGGATACGATTTTTTGCTACAATAAGTTCGTCCCGTATTGTGTTCTCGTTTTTAGGATTCGGAATGTTGAGAGTAATTCATAGCAATAATAATGTACAGTATAGTCTAGGTTCATTACAGCTCCAATAATAATAACTATAATTATAATGTTGTGAACTAAATGCCTGGGGTTATTTACCACCGAGACCAAATTTCATAAATAGTAGCTCTTTGCCTTTGGACAGCATGTCCCCGCCTGGAGCTGCCATCTCTTGAATTTTGCCCATTATGTTGGGTCCACCTTGTTGTTGACCAGGCTGGCCTGGTTGGCCGGGTTGACCAGGTTGGCCAGGTTGCTGCTGCTGCTGTTGTTGCTGTTGCTGTTGCTGCTGCTGCTGGCCACCTCCCATGCCCATGTTCATACCTAAACTACTAAATGGACCGGATGACTGTTGCTGGGGCTGTTGGTTCATCGGACCACCACCGGGTTGCTGCTGTTGGGTCTGAGCGGCCGGCTTCTTGCCAAACAGACCACCGGTTGCGGCACCGGCGGCTCCGGACAGAAGGTTGCTAGCTGTAGAAAAGACACCACCGGATGAGGCTGTGGTTGTAGGTTGTTGCTGTTGCTGTGGTTGTTGCATTTGCTGTTGCTGTTGCATCATGGGTTGCTGTTGTTGGCGCATCTGTTGCTGCTGTTGTAGTGGCGTTTGCTGCTGCATGTTATTCATTCCGCCAACATTACCACCGATCCCTATCCCTTGACCGATCATCCCTCCTATCCCCTGCATCCCCTAGAAATCGCAGCAGCTGCGTTAGTCTATTCTGATATGCCCACCAAGCCCACTTGTACTAAAGGATAATGGATTACGTATATAAAGGAAGGGTTCTAGATTTTTGTTTAAGGAAAGTAACTTTGGAAAATCGCATCAGAAAACTAAACGTTAACGAAACTCAATACAAATGAAGCTACTACTAGAGACTGCTTGGTGCGAGTGAGTTTGAAGACGTGCGTTAGGCTGGTTTTAGATTCACTCTGATGGTTTCAGAGTACTGCTAGCTGTTTAAAGATTTTTTTTAAAGGAGATATGACGATGCATTCTTTCAAAGATCAATGAATTTGGGTGATAAGAGTCTCACTCTTGATATTTGAAACACTTTCTGAAGCAAGGCATTTCATGTTTTGAGGGATACAGAGCCACACACAGCACAGAAGAGTAAACAACTCGGTGTGCTTGGACGTCTGAAAGACTTGTAGCACACATTACATAAACAACCCAACTCTAACAATAACAGCAATATTATAAGAGCTGTAAATCTCTTGCGTTTATTTTTCTCCATGTGTAATCTAACTCTTACTTTTGAAAATTCATGTTTTATGATTTCTAGTGTGCGAGAAAAGAAAATCAACTTTACAAGAATATATGTTTCATAACCAGTAAGAGCCAGATTTTCGTCTGTGCAGTCAGTTACAAAGCAAAGCACTGCTGAAGGTGACGTGTTCGACAGGTTTTTCATGTTGTGTCAATGGTTAATGTACACACTCCCTATCATAAGTTTGGGGTCAACATTTAAAAAACGAACATTTTATTTCATTACTGACTGAAACTTAGTTCTCAGGTAATATTTTTTTAATATATTTGACAATTTTTGTGTGCAAAAACTTCTCTTAAGGTTATAACATTTTTTCAAAATTCACACTTTCTCAGAATTGGGTCGGCCAAATTTTGAAATGAAAACTGGAAGCTGAAACTGGAAGCAAAACCTTTATTTTATAGCCATCGAGCTAGGTTTGTGAAAGTTTAGTTGAAACATTTAGGATATGCTTTAACTTAATAACATAGTTATTCAAGTTATCGATCAAAAGTTTGCGGTTACCGCACAGTAGTTATCTATGATTCTGATATACAGTACCTGTCAAAAGTATATACCTGCGTAAGTTTTTTATTCTCTAAAAAAATAGAATTCACAGATTTTTAACTTTTTCGGATATTCATAGAATTTTCTGAAATCTTGGCTGCTGGTTAGTCACGTATTGAAAATGTATCATTATAATTTTGAGCTTGACTGACAGACCCTGTATGAAGCTTGAGCATTTTAGTAAAACACCTCTTTTTGAAACTGATGCATAGTATTACCCGTTCGTGTTGCAAATTTCTTTTGCACGTTTTGATTTATCTAAGAACAAAGAAAATCTGTGTTTTGCTTAGATGTTTACAGGTAAACATATTTTTCTTATCTCATCATGACAAAAAGCTGGATTCTAAAAAAAACTGAATGGTCGTTTACGAAGAGCTTTGAGTGGGTTGGTTTATTTCCTTTAAATTCCGTTATAATTTTATCAAAACGATTTAGTGGTTCGCAGAATTTCGTTAAAATTGGTAATTTTGTTCCTTATCGCAAAATATTAGACCATATTTTTATTTTTTTCATTAGGGTGACCATTTCCATGTAAAGGTGGCCCAAAATATCTATTTTGTGTGTAAATGATATGCATGATGTCTTCATATAAGTTGATAAAACTTTGTAGAAGACACCTAGTTCATATTTTGTTTACTTTTGGCGGAGCATGAGCAAGCCAATATAAATTAAAAGAGCATGCAGTTTTAAAGAGCGTGTTTTTAACTAAAACTAATACAGTATTTTCACCAATGAATCCTTACAGTCGCTTACAGTTTATCGAGTTTACCATGATGTTGAATCACATATAATCTACTTTTAGATTCATGCGAGATAATTTGCAACATTGCACCTTGTTGAGCTTCAAATATGTAATATTTCAAAACATATCCACAAACTTTCTAGTATTTTTTATTTCAAATTATATTGCCCTAGTAGCACACTTGTCACAAACCGGTTAAGGTATCTGCTTTAGTACTCATCTTAGTCACAGTCAAGTTACTACGACAAATGTGTGATACTTGAGGGGATGCTGTATTCGGCAAATTTATCAAATTTCCCATCTGTCTATAACTATTCAGAACATGTCAAAGCTGTAAAAGTAGAAATTCAAAAGTAATGATAAAAATTCCTTTTTCTGTAGAAAATGAAAAATATTTTCAAAACTAAAATTGATCGTACACCCAGAAGATTTTTTTTTCAAAAATGGTAAATAGGCGTATTTTTTTAAATCGTTGCTGAGGATTGAACAGATGTTTTTGATTTATTGCTATAATGTTGGTCTTTATTGGAGGATCCTGTATGAAGTTAGATTAATTTTAGTAAAATGCTCGATTTTCAACGCTCGAACTCAACAAGTGGACGAATTTTAGTAAAATTAGTGGCAGATGAATGCTCTTTATTACGACTAATTGATTTATGTTCATATTATTTCAAGAAAATAAGCTTTTTCTAGATAAAGGCGCTCTAACTTTTTGTAATCTCAACCAAATTTGCCCAATACTGAGCCAATAATTGATAAATGTAGGCTGTGTCAGCTGCCAAAAATTCAAGGACGTATCTATCTAACTTGTGTCTAAAAGCCGTTTTTCTAAAATATAAGTACTGATGTACGATTAATTTTGAGATACACTGTATGGATTTGGTGTCTTCTACAAGTGGTTTCTATAACTTTTATGAAGAGACCAACTATGTATATTGAGAAAATGAAAACATAATATTCTATCTCGCTTATAGGGGGTTAATCATTAATATGAAAACTTCAAACGGAGCGCAATAGCATTGCAATAAACTTCTCAGGAAACATCCCAAGTAACATTGCAATTTTTATGGAGGTTTTCAAGCGTGGTCTACAGAACCCTAATAAAACCAAAATTGTTACTTGGTTACATACCTCTAAAATTGCTATATCAAGGATTTATCAACTAAACGCACGAAAATGATAATTTCAACTACTGTTAACTGTATCAGTGTTAGGATAAACCAACCAGAAAGTACCAAAATCAATGTAAAGTACATTTTCATAGTGTTTTTTATGTTTCTTCATACGTGAAATTTACGAGTTTCAGAGTTGGTTGGAAATGTTATTGAATATGTGATAATTTATTAGCTAGAGAAACGTCTGAAGAGGGTAGGTTGATAGTTGATAGTTCCCCTAGAATACGGCAATATGACAATTTAATAGAAGTTGAAAATGAGCGAAAGGCCATGCGACTGTACTAGTCAAACGCACACTTCTTTATCTAACTCACACATTAATGGATGAGGAAACTTGAGACTTATATACTGACTGCGGTTTGGAATAGTTCTAGCGACGTTTCATCACTACCTAAAGCCCCATGTTTCCGAAAGCACCAACGTAGTCATCTCAGAGAGAAAGCATTAGGGTGGCATTGAGGTGACTACGTTGGTCATGACGAGAGAGGCAACGCAATAGTTGGGTAAAGAAGAATTGGATTATAATACACCATCGACTGAAAATGCCTTCAGCAACATGGGGCTTTAGATAGGATGAAACGTCGCTAGAACTATTCCATAGCCGCAGACAGTATATGAGCAAGTCAAACGCGTACTGTTTTGCCTGTAGATTTGAAGAAATACACTGAATTAAATTATCACTATTCAATTTTCATACTGCCGTACTCTAGTGGAACTATCATCCTCCCCTCTTCAGACCATTCTCTAGCTAATAAATTTTCACACTAAAGCTTCATGTTCGATAGCATTTCCAACCAACTCTGAAAATGAAAGGTACATGGGTTATATATTGGATTTGACAGCCACAGCACCCCCTTGCCTAAAACTCGGCATTTTCGGCATTTCCTATCACAACCATCTATGTCATGCTTAACCACACGGAATTTGAAATATTTTGCATGAAAATAGAAAAAAAAATTTCCAACAACGCTATCTTTATATCAATTATGGTACTAATTTAATCGTAGTTTTAATAAACTATTTCTTCAACACTGTGTAAAGTGTCAAAAAATGCTCCAGGTAAATCATTTCTTGTTAAATAAAATATATTATATAACCAATTTTACACGTGACGGAATCCATCGTTGACATAAAAGATGAGACGTAAACAAACATGTCATGTAATATTAAGTGCTCCGAGACTGAAAAGTTCGTTGCTCGACGAAAAGTACGTTTGAATGAGCTATATTCGCGTCTGTTATGACTCAAATTTATGTCAAAATTGACGCTCGTATATGTCACTCTCAGAGCACATAAATTTATATGTTTTTTTCTAAGTGTGTAGATTTTATTTTCCGTTTACAAGAAAATAGGGTAATTTTGTGATTTTTTTTTTACTAAATTTTCTCCCAATCAAACTCAACACTGCACTAATAAACCTTGAATATTTGTTTCACCAATTGCTAATAATTCAGAGTTTTTGACACACATTCTGAAAAATTATCAAACTTTAGTTTTTTGGATAATAAAAATGTTGTTTTTATTTTTTTTGTTTTTTTTTTTAATATTAATTCATTTGATAAGGCTCAATAGAATTAACTTTACAGATGTTTGTTTCTTGTTCATCATGCAAAGCATCGTAAAACTATTGCCAAAAGGTACAACACAATAAACAGTTTATCTTCCGCTATCCAAAAAGCCTCCTCCATCTGGACGGGATCCACTTCCAGTGGTTTCATTGTATGGCAGTATCGCCAACGGAGGGCAAAGCGCTTCCATTGCAGTAATGGACGCTAAACGTGGTCATTCACACATTCACCACAAAACGGTTGCTTTCCAAAGTCGACGGATCGACCGAAAGAACTGCTGATGAAAGGAGAACCACACATTGCACAATGGTCCCAAAGCCGTGTTTAGGAAGACAAAAATATATGCGTCCAAACTATCGTTTTTAGGTACATTGTGCCTTGGGGAAAGT